AGACGCTGAATAAGAAAATATTAAGGCTGACCATAGGCCTACAAACCACTCTGCTATAAATAAGCATATTTATAAGCATTGAAAATTAGTGACAGATCACATGATAAATCATACAAACCACCAGTTTGAAAACTTACGGTACATCTAGACTACCGCGTTTTGTCGACGGAAGTTTTGTCAACAGATAATGTCGACAAAACTTCCGTCGACAATTTGCGTCCAGACACATGGAGTTCTGTCGACAAAGCAAGCCGCTTTGTCGACAGAACTCCGTAGTCTGGACGCAACGTTACAGGCAATAACACCTTCTGTCGACAGAAGTTTAAAAAAGGAACTCCATTAGTTTCATCTGGGCTTTGCTTTTAAAAACAATCTGTGGCATGATATGGCCTGGGTAATTTTAATATAGGAAATACATACAAAGGATGTTTTAAAAAATTATGGGCCAGACCTTGAAAGTCTTGTCCTGTTTTCACTCAGTGCTTACTGAGGCAAATTCCTGCTCAAGAAGTTTGCCTGAAGGAAAGCTGACAACACTCTAAGTAAAACTTCAGGATTTGGAGCTAATTTTGTTTTTAGAAATTTACTGTGGTCTGGTTAGAGACTAAAAGAGTTTTGGCAATGTTTTTTATATTTGTCCATAGGCCACATCACATCTTATTACAGATTCTGAGTTGTTTCACATGCTTCACATCTTTCCCAGTAAGGGTTTTAATAATATCAACTGCCCTTTACTGAACATTTTTCTCATTATAAGATGGAATAACACATGTTAAGGCACCCTTGCTGGATTAGGAAACATTTTTTTAAAATATTTGCCCTTTCTACACCATTTTAGACCATAAGACCCTTTTTATTCGGTTTTTACTAAATCAAAATTTCCTTTAATTTTGAAAAGTTTTTCCTGAATGAGGCTTGGCACTGTTTATGTAATCCACATACTAACTTGCACCATAAGAATTATGTTTGACTATGAACAAAACTATGTGTTTCGGTGTATTGAAGACTAGCTGGTTTGGGTGTAAATATAGTTGTGTACATAGTTGAATATCAGCTGTGTGCTAACTGCAGTGATGCACTGCACAAGGAATGCAGAGAAGTTGCTCACATTTTCATATATTGTGGCATCTTATTACAGATGCTTCCATGCAGTGGCCCAGATTGTGCCGCCAAGATCCTCATGTTTGAGAGCTGCACATTGAGAGTTCTCTACTCTTCCCACATGGAAGGAGTTTCATCTACTTTCACAGTATTATCTCCATGCCCCTTCTTGTGCAGTACCCTCTGGATAATGTTTAGATCTTCATAGGGGGAATAGGCATGCTGGTATCAAGGATGAGTGGCCCCGGAGCAGATGGAATTACATTCATTATGTGTATAGAACAGCCAATATCCCAGATGTTAGGATACTTCACAGAGATGTGGGAGACCCAGGATCAAATCTCTGATGGAGAGCAGAGTTCTGTTCTGGGGTAGTGCTTTCTTTCTCTCTGGCTTTGATGAGAAATTTCATCTGAGACCTCAGAAACCTACCTGATGCAAGTTTTAGTTTGACAAATGAGCATTTGGCCCTTAAAAACACTTTATGGAAAAAATTTCCAACCAGTTCTAATGAGAAGATGTTTCCAACTCCATTTTGTGGTGATTTTTTGCAGCTCTGATTCATTTCTGCACCCCTGTATTTTGTGAAGGAGAGCATGTGATGCTGCAACTTTGTTTGATATTTGCAAGCCATGTTTGTATATCCCAAAGCAATTACCTTAAGCCATCTCTGACTGTTACATACTCTGCTACCTCACTGCAATTGCTACAAGATTTTAAAATCATAAACCTTTGTTATATCTAACATAAAATGGGAGCTGTGAAGATTTTCTGGTTCTCATACTCCCTATTTGATTAACATTGACTTGCACTAAAAACATTGACTCATCTAATAAGCTGGAAAACTACAACATTTTAAATGAGAAAACTGCATTAGTATGGAGGCTTTCACATTTCAAAAGATACATTTCCTAATTTACTTAGCCCACTAATTTGTAAGATATTAAGAGTAACTATGTTGTATCCAGGACAATAAATTAATTGTTTCAATTATCAAGCCCTCTACTATCCAGAAGCTCAGTTCATATACTCAGTTCATAGCTGCATGCAGTATTATTTCATTTTGATGTTAAGTACTAAAATTTGTACTCCGAAGGGAAGGTAAAATCTTGAACTTACCAAAAGCAAATCTTGCATATTATTTCTTGGTTGGGTTCAGTCACTAGGTAATTTATTTTAACTCTTCCTTTCCCTATTCAGTGACTGTCTACTTCAGGAAACAATCCGTAAGCAAAATGTGGGATATAAACAGCTAAATACAAAATTAAATGTATTCACAGACTGTTTTTCTAAATAACCAAAGTAGCTTAATAGGTTTCCCCTATTCTTCTCCAGAATTTAATCTCCATGATAAGGACAACTACTATCTGAAGATCCATTTCTTCTGATATGACCATATCACTTATACATTCAGAGTTCACTCAGCTATGTAAAATGTTTATGATCTCCAGTTATTTGCTACCTTCTACTATATTCTTGGATAATCATGCTTATTTTATGTAGAACATCAAAGCTGTATTTTCAGAGATGACAACTATCTACTGTAGACTTTCCTCACATCTTCTATATTTGTTAATTTCTTAGCTGGCTCATGCAAAATATTACAGCAGTCCTGACTTTGGCAAGTTTTCCACTTACTTCAGAATTTTAGACTGCTTTTACTACTGATTCCATAAATTGTAATAACACCATCTTTCATTACTAAAATATCATAATGTTCAATAACTGTTTCAACTGATGACTAATTTTATCACATTATATTGCCCAGAGACTAGATCCTGAATAACTTCATCTTTACTTGGTCAGAACTTGTGCTGAAATCAGGATTTCAGCAAGATTTGGCCCTATAAGTCTTTGAGGGGATTCACTAGTACCACATTATTGGTCAACAGGTTCATCATTGTTCTACATATGTATGCTGATGATGCAAACGTATATGCCAGCATATCAGTAATATTGTTAATATATTGTAACAAACTTACATGTAGAAGTATTTGCTTATTCCAACAGCAGTCAAGCACAATATCTGGAAGTTTAAGAAGTTTGCTGTGTGTTTATTTTTAATGTGGCAAGTCATCCATACAGATGATTTACAGTATCTTACAACAGATTGTGCCCTCACTGTGGTTTGATGGTAATTTGTTAGAAGTCCCGTTAAATGAGTAATACTGACACTGCAATTTTAGGTCACTTTGTCTTGCCTTAGAGGATACTAAAGCACTTTATGGACTTTTCATAGAGGACAAACATGAATTACTCTCAGCTACTGAAATGTAACCACCTCCAGTGTGGACTGTGACTTCCCTTTTGACAGTGACAGATCAGTCCTCTACAACAATTTAAGACACGAAGAGAAAAGAAATATAATTAAAATTTGCAAATGGAGTTGAGATAAACTACAGGCAGTCCCCGGGTTACGTACAAGATAGGGACTGTAGGTTTGTTCTTAAGTTGAATTTGTATGTAAGTCGGAACTGGTACATATTATAGGGGAAACTCTAGCCAAACATTTCTCCAGAGCTCAGTTTTATTCTCCCACACCTCACTTCCCTCAGTCCTCTATTCTCAAGATGAGGTGTCTGCTGAGAAAAGCCGCTCCGTGTCTCCCTGGTCTGCTGGGGGGGGAGGGGGGGCGCTAGCTTCGCGTCTCCCTGGTCTGCTGGGGGGAAGCAGCTAGTGCGGGGTTGCCTCACCCCGTTTGTAAGTAGGGATCTGATGTAAGTCGGATCCATGTAACCCGGGGACTGCCTGTACTCTAGAACTTGGTATAACAGTGAAATCAACACCTTTACTCTGGCAAAAAGTGCAGAGGGGATAGCCACTGGAAACAGGTTGCCAGTAATTCAGTTTTAAATTTCATCTGAAAGATCAAGTGTTCAGCTGCACAATTGACAAATGATGATTAAGGATAAACGTTCCAGAAGTGCCCACTGAGACTCTCCAGTCAGATAGGGTTATGTCCACAGTAGTAATAGTAGTAATAAATCTTGGCACTCTGAGTCTGGGTCTACTGGCTCTGGCTGCACACTTAAAAACAGCAGTGTAAACATTCAGGATCAGGCTGGAGCTCATGTACTGAGACCCTCCCTCATCACGGAGTCTCACAGCCTGGACACCAGCCCAAGCCCAAATGTCTACACTGAAGTTTTATAGCCCTGCATGCCTAAACCGGCTACCAAGGACTACCCATGAGCCATGCAACAGAGATTTTATTGTAGCATAGACACTGAAAATTTTACCCTTTGCATGTTGTGGCCACTTTGCATCTCTCAGTACCAGCCTGACTTAGACTTATCCAGAGTAAAATATGTCATTCATCATAGTAGCATATAAAACCTACTGTACAACCTGTGTTTTAAATATGTTAATATTGGGAAATATGGTTGTTCCTTTGCTGTAATTCATATGGTATATTATGATTTATTAAACTACAACAAAAAAATATTCACTAAAAACAGAGAGACAAAATTTAAAAAGTCCCCAAAGCTCCATCAGCAGAACCCTTCACTGAGTTTCTGCAAGCCCGCTGGCAGAACTGTGTGTTCAGCTCGTCCTGAAATCCCAGTATGCGTCAAAGCCAGGCTGTCAACTTGCTTTCATTATGAAATACCCCATAGCTGGTAGACTCAAGTGACTTCTGTCAGGAAATATCTGGGACCTGAAATCAAATCTAGAGGTAAAGGACCATTCCACTGTGTTAAGAACAACATGTTTTCCCAGCACAACATTTTATGACACTTTTAGGAAACCTCTGCCTTTCAGTCCTGTGCTAGAAGAATGAACTTTTAACACTTTGTTTTCTAATTCTTATCCCCTTGGCCATTCATTTGACACTAATCCTTTTCATTGCCGGTTTTAATTATACACTTCTGTATTTTCTCTGCTTTTCTGAATTTCAGACTTATCAATGAGTCTTTGAGGGACCAGTTACTAGTCACTATCCAGAAGACTTTTACCTACACTCGAACCCAGGCACAGCATCTCTTCATAATCCTCATGGAGTGCATGAAGAAAAAGGAGCTGGTATGTGAATGGTTTTCTAAATCTGAAGTAAGGGACCTAAATGCAATTCCTCATCATGACTGATATTTTCTAAAGTCACTCAGAGATCTGGATGTGCAAACTTCCTAGGCAGCTTTGAATGCATATGGAGAGATTTTTCACTGCCCCTTACAAGTCCTTTTATTTCTGAAATATTTTCAATTGATGTCTCATCTTATTTACTCATTAGCTTAGGCACTGTATTTACATCATGTATTTTAGCATTGAAGTGGCTTCTCTGTTTTGCTTTGTGAATGGTGTTGTGCATGTTTTCTGATGTCCATAATGTGACTGACAAAACAACATGTGCCTGCTAATGGTGTTCGTATATCTTAATCAGAAGATCACTTGCTGATGCTTTCTTGCCATCCATGCCATCTGTACACACACACAAATGCTATTCGTGCTGATAAGAGCTCTGCTCCCATTAAGGCAGGAGGCTTGGGCCTTTTAGTTTTTAGCATTTATTCTCATTTCAAGTGACAATGAAGCAGTAAAGAATTCACACATTGTGTGTCTTAAATTTCAAGCAGTATGTGGGCAGGGGCGTGAATAAATAAGAGCAGAGATGAGCAATAAATTTTTATGGTGGGCCCACTCCAAAAATGTGGGAAGTGGTCAAGGGCTGTACTTTTCCAGGATATTAATGGAGGAGGTCTGGGGTCTGGATGGAGGTTGTGCAGAAGGGAGCTTGGGTGGGGGTTTGGGGTACAGGAGGGGTGCACGATTTGGATGCAGGGGAAGACTATGACCTGTGGGATGGGAGTAGGAGGAGGGTCAGGAGGGAGTTGTGAACTGGGACAAAGAGGTGGAGTTCAGGAGGGGGTGGAGTGCCAGGTGCCCAGAGGGCACTCATTGTTGATGGCTCCCAGCCAGCAGGCCAGTGGGACATTAGACAGGCTCCTGGCCTGCCACACCCCCACATGCCACTCAAAGCGGCTGGCTTCTCAGGCCATGGTGTGTGTATCTTTACAGTAAACCCTTTGGAGAGGTCTCCACTTGCTGCATGCACCTGCAAGCATAGCCCAGGCAGGCCCCATTGGCTGACCACGAGGATTGTGCAGGGGCTGGGGCAACTCACAGAGATTCCCGCCGAGGGGAGCACCACACAGGGATGCACACCATGGTCCCAGCAGCCAGCTGCTTTGAGCAGTATGTACAGGCACAGCAGACAGAGAGCCAGCCCACTGGACATTGGCAGTTCAGAGCATTGTGGTGGGCCAGATCTGAACGTTTGGCATGAGGCTGTATTTGCTCACCCCCGGGTAAGAATAACCTGGAGCTAAAACAGCAACTGGTGCTAGTATTAGGAAACTGATGCTAGTATTTAGGGCTCATTTCTTTAAACCTGTACAATCTCAGAGAACTTACTGACTTTAAGGTAGCAATATAATTTGGCTCATTCTGTAAACAATTCACAAAAATGTGCAACAGAAGAGTCGGGTACTCATACTACAATACAACTCCAATAATACTATAGATGATTTTGTTTGAACGTTGCTGATTTAAAGAAGTGACTATTTAAAAAGGCACTTTCCTAACCCAGCAGACCTGCTCCTTACATGTATTCTACCCTGGGCAAAGTCTAACCCAGTTAAAAGAACACCACTGTTGTTCCATTTCATGTATCATCAGCCATATTGTTTCTTAAATTCCTACCAGTTGCATCTGTGCAAACCCACTGAAGAGAAGCATTGCCCAGCTGTCAATAAGAACTCAATTTGAAGGCAGGGTGTTGCACATGTGTCACTACACGCACCATTCAGCCTGTAGAACCTTTGGTGGTGATGTGTGCGGAGAGAACAAGCTCATTTGGAGACCTGAAGTTGACTGTGTAGGCTCTCCCTTAAAAAAAATTGTTTACTTGTGAACTGAACACATTTTAATATCAAACCATAAGCATTAAAACCCACCAAGCCACAATTAACTTTTCTGAATATTACCACCCTTTAAATACTGGTTAAGTCACTAGCCTAAAAAACTGCTAAAACTTTAAGGCAACGTGGTCTCATGGGTGGAGATCTGGACAGAGATTCAGGAGATTTGGATTCTATCCCTAGCTCAGCTCCAGGCCTGTAAAGCAAGACATGTCACTCCATTTCTTCACCTGTAAAATGGAGCTAATAATGCTTACCTCCTTTGTAAAGTGCTTTCAGATTTACTGATGAAAAGTGCAATATTGGAGCTAGGTATTTATTATTATTCATTTAAATGGCCTGAATGTATTAAATGCTATTAACCTTGATTTTTGACAGGCTGACTGAATTGAGACTTTTATTTTATAACGCAATAATTCTAAATTCCACTGTAGAGTCACATCAGTCCAAATGTATTCCTGAAATTTCAGGTTGTAGATAGCTTGCAGTACTTTGCTCAAATCACCACTTCTGAAAAGAACGGATACAATCTGATTTAAAAAGATACATTTATTTTTCTGCAGTTTACTAGCATCTTCATACCCTACTGAGCTTGATTATTTCCATTTGAAAATCCAAACAGTGTTGCCTATGAATTCCCATGTAGCATTGGCTAGCAGTTTTGCTTCATAACATCTGTACTTGTCTCTTAATTAAATTATTATAGCTGCTGTACATAAGGTACAACCTTGATTACAGTGTCAATATTACAGAAATACTTGCTCCCTTCCCTCTTCTTTATGGTTGCCAAGCATTTATGGGCATGCCAAGCAGTGTTGTCCCAGTCCTATAACAAAACTATAGAGATGCCAACTATAATAAAAATGAAGTTGCCAGATATACTGCTGCATCTTCACTTCTGCATGCAGCATCACTTGCCAATCACTAACAGAAACATCTTCCTTAGGAAGACCCAGATCAACTTTGCAGAGCATAAAATATTCAGGCAATCAAATAATGAAACTTTCCTGGTAGAAACACTTGAACCCTCAATGTGTGAGGGCCAGTTTTCCCCCCTTGGATCCAAAAGGAGCTCTCACTGAAGACATTTGTTTTTTGGAAGAACCATTTGGTCTTTAAAATGAGCCATGCTGCATATGCGCACACAGAGAGAAAGGAGAAAGAACACGCACGCACGCACGGAGGGAAGAAGCAATAGGTCAGAAGGGAAAGGGAAGAGCTAGGTCAAAGAGAACAGAGATTAGATGGGAAAGCCTAAGAAAATGGAGAATAGATTATATGGATATAATGGAGAGAAATAGAAGATTAAACAGAAATTACACACACACATTCTGAAGAAATATGTGCATTTTATGGTATTTCAGTTTCTCCTGCATTTTAGCAGTTGAAGCACATTTTGGAGTATCCTTTAACAAGTTTATTTTGTTCATTTTACCTTGCCTGAGAGAAATGCAGAGATTAGGAGGATCTTCAAATATGAATTAGCTAGCTGGACTTACATGGTGTAGTCCAGGAAACCAGAGGAGCAAAATTTAGAAAAAAAGAAGCTGGTCCTGACAACCTCCAGTCACACAGCAGCTGCCAGTACCTGACATCTGGCCATTATGGCAGACCCCCCTGCTTTTCTACTGCTGCATAAAACAAAATCTCTGACTCAAAAAAGAGGCATTTCAATGTTGAGAATCAGAGCTATTTGACTTGGCAAACTTAGATACAAAAGTCACAATAGAAACTGTATCTCTGTGTTCTTCCCATGTCATGAGTTGGGAGCCATTAAAAGCACAGTGGAAGGGAGAGCCCCCACATCACCATGGCTTGTTTTCCCACCATTGCTGGAAGCATATGGAGGCCCCTCTTCAATAGTGCAATGTTTTGCTTCCTATCAGATGGTATTTTTGCTAAATATCCTTGTAGAAGCTAATGTTTTTTTGGTAGGGAAGTAGGGGATAAGCATGCTGGGTCTGCAAATACTCATCCAAGAGCTGAGTATAGGGATGCCTCAATCAATGGGGCTGGCCCTACTGAATCTGAGAGATTTCAAGGTGACACCTCAAACTCTTCTCCCATCTTTTTTGATGAAACTATGAGTCAACTACCTGAGCCTGCTGGCACCTCTATAGTCCTTCCTCCAACACCACCCCCTTGACCAGCTTCCCCTCCCACGGACTGCATCTCACTCACTCACTCACTCACACACACACACACACACCATCCAGTATCAAACCCAGGACCAGTGCCCAGATTTGAGGGGTCCCCCCTCCACCCTGGATTAATTTCTCTCACACCCAGCATCATCCAGTGCTGCCCCTTGGGCTAGTGCCCCTCAAAGGAGGCACCTCCTCCTTCCCCTCCTCCTCCCCCCCGCCATGGGCTTCATTTCTCGCTCACTCCCTGCAGGCCCTGCAGGCCCCACTTCCTTCATCCCCCTACAATCCTGCCCTCCTCCCATTCGCCCCTAACGGCCCAGCCCCACCCCCCCTCCCAATCCACCCCTCCCCCCCACCACACC